TGGCGAGCTGAAGATGCGATCGCTCGTGTATCGTCTGCTGCTCTTCCACTGAAATCTGAGCAATACGAGAGGAACGGACACTATCAGGGATTTTTCGTCTGGAGCGTCCTTCCTCTCCAAACACTTTCTAAACACAAACGGGATTGAGGTGAATCATTTTGTTCTTGGGGTTTGTTGTTTCCGCTCTTCATGAAGAGCAGCGGTTTACTTCCTACTGTATGATTTCTGGTTATTTATTGTAAAAACAACAACAATATTATATCTATATATTCTAATCACAGTGGCTGCATTAAGTAGTTATTTCAAGTATGTATGTTTTAATTTTTCTTGTTTTTTATCCTTTCCAATGTGGATATGTGTTTTTTTTAAATGTGAGATAAACTGGCAATATTTTTGAACTATTGAAGTATTTAAAAGTGAAACAATGTGATCAGATTTCAGCCGAGTGTTTCTCTTTGCCAAAGCTGCTGTACAGATGAAGCTGAGTGATCGTGTGCTCTGAAGATCTTCAAGGGCTCAGATAGATGTGCTAGTTTTGGACACACTGGACGGCTTTATTATGATCATGTTTGATTTATGAGCCGATGTGACACTTTGAGGCTCAGAAACCTTTGAATAATAATTGAGAATATTGATTATACCACACACGCAAACACAATTGTAATTCTGAGTTTATAGTAAAATTAAAGAGGAAAAATCAGTGTCAGCGGAGTTGTTTTTCTCTTTATGAATGTTTGAACCCTGACATGTTTGTAGTCCTGTGGAGAAAATCATATTTCACCTCAAAATCAGTGCATGACGATTAGTTTCTGTTCTCGTGACTGTGATGTGAGATGTCTGGTGTCTGGACGTCTTCATGATTCAGTACATGTTTTATATGTCTTGGTTTTGGGGTGGAATATGAGATGACCCGAGGCTTTTCATCACGTGACTTCAGAAGGAGCTCAGATCTCATCTCAACTCTAATGAAACTCTATTGGTTTGCATCCTCAGAGCAGCTTGAACATTCATCTAAACATCTGCTTTTGTGTTCAACAGAATGAAGTCACACAGAACCACACGAGGTGAGTAAACCTTATTAGTAAAGATTTTTAGATCAAGTTTAGATCAAGTTTAGATCAAGTTTATGTCC